GGGGGGGGGGGGGTAGTGTACTCCGAGCCCGAGACCCCCGAGACCCGAGTACCCGACTCAACAGACAAGAAGAGAGGGCCCGAGGGGTGTTCAGTCTCAGAATTCTCAGTTCAGAACTTCAGAGTGATCAGACTGTCAGAGTTCAGACTCTGAGACTCAGTCAGCTCAAGCTGTCATCACTCATTTTTTATTGTTTTTATAGATAAATTAATAGTCCTCGCCCTCTTGTAAATGTACTTTTATAGAGAGGGCTATGCAACAGTGATCAATCACGTGCTGACGATTCACAAAAGTATTTAAATAACATATTTACATAAATACCATGTCCCACACAGCCGACATGCACATCCTACACCTTACTAATAAATAGTTAAATACACTAAACAAACCATAGAGTGACGGAGTCGCCGTCCGGTTGTACACTGTAGCACATTGTACTCATTAACTAGTATATTACTGATATATGTTTTACCAACCTACACATTATTAGCTCAGAGGTTTCAGAGATGGTCATTTTCTTGGACTCGCCGGTTGGAAAGTGCAGGCATCATAATGCATGTGGCGACCTAGGCTGTTAGCACTGTTTACGCATTGTACTTATCAGTGATCCAGATAGTTGTTTGTCATAGTATGCATAGTATGCATAGTACGCATAGATATATGATTCGTACAATCAACGAGATAAGAGGAAGGAATGGTGCCGCGCAGCTCTAGCGATCTTCACGGCACTTGTCTGACAGCAATGCGGACTCGTGCGGATCTATGTCAATAAATTCGGAGATTTATTTTTTGGTATTTGTGTACAAGATTAGCGATAGGTTTATCGGCACTTTTGCATGTCTATGTAGCTGAAAAATAATATCTGTAAGCCTCAGAAAACATTGCACACATCCTTGCCTTTACTTCAATGTATTATATTATAACGTGCAATCCGTGTTTTTGCCCCCAGTAGGCATGATGTTCAAGTGACCTCAGGGATACGCATGACTACTGCCGCTTAAAATCGCTCTCTCTTGTCGTCCTAATAAGTGAAGCCACAAGAAAAATACGGGGAAAAATATATATATTTATCGCATTGCAACGCACTGCGTCGTTCAATTGCACCGCGTTGCACCGCATTGCAACGCATTACGTCGCATTGCATCGCTTTGCATCACTCTGCAATTGTATCACAGCGTGGAAGTCAAAGAAACGTCGCTGTCTGCTGCCCTGTTTGTATTCGTAACACAGGGCAGATATGTAGAACGTCCTAACGAAATGTGGGCCAATGTACGCAGGGCCATAAATTATTTATTTTGCGTATTGAGTTAGGTCGGAGTTTGAACTTGGGTGATGATTGCCTGATTCAGACTCACAAACCCTTATCGCTCTGATTGCCCGTTTGAACATTTCCGAGTTGGGTCGCATTGAGATCTACTCAATTTGCAAAGTATGTCCCCGAGGGGACGATTTTTCCTGTAGTTCGGGCAAGTTAATCTCCAAGATGCCTTCAGACAGATGGGTCTTGATCTTCTTAAGATCCATCCCACGGGGCACCTGAAATCCACGGCGGAAGCTGGAGCAAGAACGCTCTCTCATCTGGAGATTATACGAATTCAGAGCAGGTATGAATTACTTTGGGAGATGACCCGGACAAAACGGAGATAGTGCGAAATCAAAGCTTCATCTAATGTCACAGACAGCGGGCATACAATTAAATACTGTATCGGCTTCAAAGTATACAAATGTCGCAACGTACCTTCCATGTACGCCCCCCCGTCTTCTTCTCACCACTTTCAACATGACCCTCAATGGTCAAACGATCGTCTGTATAGTCCACCTTCAGATCCTCTCTCTGATAGGTATTTACAGATGAAAAATGAGGTGAGTATAAATATATATACGAAGATATACGCTAAGGACTGCATCCGAACTGCTCAACTTATAACGCAAGTCTATTGTTATAGTTTATACGTTACCTTCATGCCGGGCACTTCCATATCGATCACGGTGTGACTGTCAGGTGTTGCGTAGATGTCACAGTGGGGAAACTTGTGGCGATTCTCAACTGGGACCTCCGACTGGAACAAGGAGGGCACGTCCATGGACTGCTTCAAAATTAAAGGTGCTTTAGAAGCTATTATCTGTTCTTTCTTCTAAATGACAAATTTTCAAACGACAGTAGCAATACAAGTGACTTGAGGTAGCCAATAGCGCGACAATAAATGGAACAGAGACTAAACAATCATACCATAGTCCATGGAAGCAAGGTAGATTCAAAAGGTGTCATGAGAGACATAGTGTATAGGTGGTTGTAGTTGCTGTGGGGGCGGCGTAGATATTGTATCTAGCGTCCAAGGAATGATTCTCTCAGAGTTCGTAGTCTTGCTTTTTTACCATGTCTGGATCTGGAAGTTGTCCTAGCGTCGCTGGTGGAACTCAGTATGAAGGAGATCAGTCATTCAAAAAATGTCTATCATTTCAACAAACTGTGATATGGTAGTCGAATAGAAGGTCTGGAGCATGATATACGCTATCATTGTGTAATATCATACCAAGCGACAGCCAATATTAGTGTCAAATGATACCAGGCATGCAAACATAAAAATTTCGTTTATTGATGAAAAATGGCTGCGACTTCGCTACAGAGAAGGTGATTGACATCATTGAAACAGTACACTATGAATGGACTCAAAAAGAAAGAAGATTCGAGATCAATATATGCGTGCTTTTCTTCATTCACGTGGAGTGTTACGCCAACCAAGCCTATACATATTTCATTTTGAGAAATATATATGCATGACAATCTTCACATAGTGTCCTGCATGCTCCCTCGTTCGTAGCTGTACCATGGTTGGCCAAAAGACAAACGATACAGCGGCGGAAACGTAGGATATATGAGCTGTGCGTGACGGTTATGCAACGCACGTTCTCCTAAATGGTGGGAGTCAACAGTTGGCATTGGCGTTATGAAATGTGATTTAGGAGTGAAATAGTGAAAAATGAGCAGAACTTCCCACAAGGCCACTGATGCATGCACAACGTTCCCTGCGGAGTACTACATAATGCTACGATCTTCTGGCGAGGCGGCTAACATCGCCTAGTAGTTGCGGGTTGACTAAACTCATTTGCATTGGCAGTGAGACAACAACTATGGGCAACAAGAATTTTACCACGTTGTGGTTCAGTTGTGGGCATTGTGGGGACAAAAATACACTTGCGGTGTGGCGAATACAAATGTACTATCCACGTGATGGTGGGGCGAAAGCAGAACCTAATGAACTCTCGCAAGCAAAGCTTAAAAAACGACATGCTTAAGCAATGGGACGCCTCCGCACGGAGATGCAGTCAGCGTTGGCAGCATGGATCTTCGTGCCGACATGCTCATGTTTTGCATGGTTTGTATGCAAGGTTAATTATATCGGGTGTAGCTTCATTGTCCTGCAGTACTATACAATAGAGTGCTGATCACAGAATTTCCAAATTTTATTTACTTGTTGCTGACTGACAAACGCGCGTGTATCACCGAGCAAGCAACGAATGAAATGTGATGTCTCAAATTCGCAAACATGCGTGTACGTACGTGATCGGTGGCGGTGTGAACTAAATTGATCTTAAAATGAATTCTGCGCGCTATGAACAGTTCGATAGAGAGTGTGCCATGGTTCACCGAGTCTATGGCCATAGATCAATATATATCTATGTACTTTGACCCGAATTCCGAGTGCCTATTTTGAAAGCGGTTATTCAGTATTGTATCATGTGATACTCATCTTGGGGTGTGCAGGATAACCGACTTTTGCGGTTCATTGGTAAAAGTATATCGTTTGCGTGCCACCCCTATACTGCTCGAAGGTAAAACCATCTCCCTATTCAATAACTATGTGGTTCATTTCAAAATATCAAAATGTCGTTGCACACACTTCCACAGCCTCTCTGCATAAGCTTTCCGTCGGCTAATTACCGTCTTTGTTCGCTTTTGATATTCGACCTGAGGAATTATTACAGACACAGTACGCGGCGACCGTGTTTGTGCTATCTGTATGTACGTTGAAGTGTCGGTCTTTAGTCCTATCTCTTTCAGTCCGATTCATTTGAACCTTCACTCACGCAGACTACAAGCCATGGAAGGCTGTCTAACTTGTGCCTTCAAGAGAAGTGATCTAAATTAACACGATGTGAACGAATTAATTGCCGTGTACATACGTAAATGAATATTCAAACTATATTAAGTTATTAGTAAACGACAAATCCATAGCTTTTAAAAAATTCAAGATATCGACAAATATTTGCCATAGCGCAGAATGACTAAGGATCGCTAAACAATCTCTTCGATAATTATGCAACCTCTACATTGGCGCGACACATTGCGTAGAACTGAACTTGTTAGGTGTTGGCCTATGCTTATCCAGACGACAGTGACAGTGTGGCGAGTCTTCCAAACGTTTTGGCTCAGCACCAAGGGAAGCAACCTATGTACGGCATTACTTCTACAAACTCAACAATCTTTGCGAGCATGAGGTGTCGTAGAATAGGCTACTTCGTTAAAGTAGTCTGAGGCCATGGGTGGTGGCTCCTACGTCAAGTATCTAGTATCTCCGTTGGCTCTCCGACTTCTGTATACTTTCCGGCGGCCGGTTTATATCATAGGTGTGGAGCATCATGCAAATCTGGATGTACCCTAACGCTATATTCATATTAAAAAAATATAGCACCCGAGCGTTCAATTGGCTGCTTGTACTATCGAAGTTTAATATGGTAAACTCTTGTACTTTTGGCGTACAACCGCGGTTGCTGACTTTTGGCTGCTTTATATACTATAAAGTTTGATATTGCGAACCACATGTACTTTTAGCTACAGCCGCGGTTGCAAAGTTACGAGACTATAATCTCATTGGCATCCTGAATATGCCAGATAAAGTTTAAAATCCATATTTCAATTTGTATACATTTATACAACCTGTCTGTTATGTCCGAGGATCGATGCTGGAGCTATCGTGCGCACTCTTATTAATCCTTATAATCAGCTCGATCTCTGGAGATGAGCTGCTTAATCTTTATGCAGGACGAGGTGATCTTCATTTTGTTCCTCATCGTTACCGTATCCGAAATCTTCTTCCATCAACCAGCCATACTCACCCAGACTGTGCACCACAGGAGAACAAGAATGTACGTGTTAGCAAACAGAGCCACAAGACATGACATCTGAGCGCAACGAGTTCATATAGGCTGAGTTAAGCGCGATATGTAAATGAATGCAACCTATAAACTAACTCGGTGGTAGATCCTTATACACTCGGTATGTGTGTCGTGAATAGTGATAGCCCAGAAAGTACACTAATTTCAGGACTGCATATGAGCGGTTACATGCGACGGACTTTTAGCATTCATCAAAGAAATCTTGCTCATACACATTTCGTATACACACACACACACACACACACACATATATATATATATATATATATATATATATATATATATATAATAATATATATATACATATATATATATATAATATATATATATATATATATATATATATATATATTATATATATATATATATATATATATATATATGTGTATACGTATGTGTGTGTAAACATATGCAAATATATATATTATATATAATATCTATGTATATATATACACATACATATATATAGATATAGATATAGATATATATATCCCGTATTCATCGTCATATGTACATACCTGTCGTGCGCCTTTTGCACTTTCTCTTCATATCCTGGCATTTCCTTTGCAGGTATTAATCGTTGCTTAGTCCATGCTGCCCTGTAACAACGGTCGCAAATATTCTGCTGTTAGGTGGAATGCTTCAGGTGTCAAGTGATGATATGAAGTGTCATGTGCAACTCGGGAGACATCTGGGTTCTGGTGTGAGCACTTCATGTTTATAACGTAGTTTGTGATATATCTAAGTCAAACAGTATAGATATGGATTGTTCTGCGTTCGATACAGACTCACTTGAATTGGCGAAGGAAAGGCCATACACACATCCGGATGGTTTAGTGAATACAAATGAATTTACCCCCAGAATGCAATGCTAACATTGCTCGCGAAACTCGCACTGAGATCTGAGGTACGCTACGAGGCACACACATAGAGCTCACTGTAATCAAACTCACACTTTGGATTGCTCGTATTGGAGGAAAGATACACGAATAGGATTAACTATCACTAAGGACACTGCATTACAATCAAAGTAGGTAGGTTGCGTACAAGCACAGCCAGGCTTCACATTTTACAAATGAATGGCGGCTTCACAATACAATAGCAGACCACTCGTTCACTTCTACACACAGACTCCCGAGCCCACCCACATCTCATGCAATCATCGGGGTATGTGAATACGCTCAGAAGGATCAAGCATACTTGAAAATATATAACAGTCGATCTAACCAGGCTGATTATACGATACGAACACGGTTACAGCATTCCTGATGGCAACCTACGAACTTACTCACCCAGCGAACAAGGCTGCGCAGAGTGCCAAGTAGCCGGCAAACACGGCCAGTGGATTCTTCAGCGAGCCGTAGGGGTGTGGTTTCTGCTGACCGAAGAACCGTGTGCCTGTGCGTACAAAATGAACCAGATCAGCGTATTGTGCCGTTAAACAGATATAATATGATATGGTATATAACGAATGGCACATGTGCACGTATGTTAATTGGACGGCACTAGGTTGTCTGTAGATGCAGCATGCGCATGTGTGCTTTATGTTATTTGAACACCACTTCATTCGTTTATAGATGTAGGTAGACTCGTGATGCCCATACGTCCGGTAGCTTGTGGCGTGGTAGATGCCTGGATAAAACCCGCACGCACCAATTAGAAACGAACAATCTATAAATAGCCTTGCGCAATATACATACCATTCCTTTCTAGCTTGGAACGTTCAAGGCTTAGGGCTTCGGCACCTTGAAAGCAAGGTATACACATGCTTCTGAACATGCTCAAGCAATGGTGTCACATGTACATATTGTATCTGCACTTATTCCGTTGATGCAATTTCTGAGGTGACCGACTTCTCTGAGTATATATGTACCCATGGTATGTCTAGGGTAGACAGAATGTGAACTGCTCTGATTATATATGTACCCAATGGTATGTCTAACGTAGACAGAATGTGAACTGCTGAGGCAGACCCCCGACACCAACAGATGAACAGATCTGCTGCTGAGTACAATGGAGCGACCCAGAGATTCCATGAACCCTCTTGTATATGTATGGTCTTTTCTCCGAAATACAATACGCACGTACACACTACATAGCCATAGACATATACCTGTCGGCCAGGCACACCACTGAGCATGAATAGCATATGAATATCGGGTGTATTCGCTATTCCACACTACACACATACACACTACATACGTATAGATATGTACCTGTTGTCCAGGCACCACTGAGCATGATCAGCATGAATATCGGGTGTGTGACTGTGCCCGTATACATGAGGCCACCGCCCAGGGCCAATCCCGAAACACCCATCATACGGTGCAGATGTTTTGCCACATGTCCCCTATAGACGGAGAAGACCTCAGTGGGTTAGTATATAAGCCCAGACGTGCATACATAGAAGTGCTCATAATGCCCCCTATAGACAGAGATGACCCCAGTAGGTTAGTATATCAGCCCACAGCTGCATAACACTCCACAAAACAATGTTCATACCGGCAGACGCGTGGTAAATCAGGATATTTTTAATCCCTGTCCCAATGAAAGTACAGTTTGTTGTCAAAATAGACAGTTCCGTTGATCATATATATATATAAATATATACATATATATACATATACATATATACATATATATATATGATTTCGCAAGTTCCTACGTACACATCAGGCATTCAAAAAGCCTTCAATAAATCAAGCAGGAAGACAGAGGGGATTACTTACTTGAAAGCACTACTACGAGCAGCATGTTGGGGAGAAATGCAGAACACGACCGTTTAGTCATATAATACACACCCTTCCACACAGCACAGAATGGACTGTATTCGCCGTCATGAAAACGCATAGCAATAATAGAGCAGACGCGTATGCACATACGGACAATAAGCCAACCGACGGCATGAGCAGTCACTCACCCGTCGAGCATTCCAATGGGCAACATATTGAACAGATTCACAGTGTATCCCCAATCGGCGAGCGACAGCAGCAGCTGAGAATCACTGGCATTTCCAAGCACAGCCAGGACGGTTGCCGCCGTACCTCCTGAGTAATGTATGTGTACAAGCATGCAGATACGAGCATTGATTTACGCAAACCAAGAACCGTACACCCTAAAACAGTTCCAACTCGCCACTACAGCTCAATACAAAGGGGTGCAGAGGGGTTGGAAAAGTTCACAGAATGCGTTAACGTGTACTCAGAAATAAAGAATACAATGCGCACTCTGATTCATCGTACAAGCACAGGCGCGTCAGCAGAACAGACCCAAACGCACACCCAATGTACTGATAAAGTGATCTGCAAGGGCAGGTCGTACACAGCAACGCACAAACAGACAGTTGTGGATTGTAAAATTATATGATATTAGGAACGATCACAACTTAATCGTAAGAGCGAGTGCAGTTGAAAGCGTAGAATTATTGTGTAATTATATGATATTAGGAACGATCACAAATTAACCATATAAACCAGTGCAGTTGAAAGCGTATAATTGCGCATAATTACGAAGATTCATACATTGAGGTAAGTAAAATAAAATGAATGTACAAACGAAGGAGCGTAGGCATAATCCATGTGCGTTTAACCCAACGTCCAAAATAAGGGAAAATCCTGCATACACACCCATAGGCATGCAAAGTATATATCAAAGCGCTTGCTAGTGCTACCCACGGACCTAGACAACCCCAGGACGAACCGAACTCATCGCACTGAGCTATGCTAGAATGTACACTCGATAGTATATTCCATTGCCCCGCACACACCACTACACCAGCGATGTATCTCCTTGCATCCAACATAACGCGAATTAATATAAAATCCCAATACGTTTCACCAGAACAGATACATTTACACACCAGACGTATCCCCTTGCATCCAAAATAACGTGGATTACTATAAACTCCCAATACGTTTCACCAGAACAGATACATTTTACGCTATTGCGCAGAGAAGTCAAAAGGAGTCAAAGGAAAAAATTTAATATGTCCCTCAGCACGAGATGGTCTTACCTACAACAGGGCCAGCCATAGCCACCACTACGTCTTTGTCGGCTGTGAATTTATGCACCTTGTCAATACGCGATGTGACTGCGGCGCCCATAAAGGGAATGAACACCATGGAACTGCAGTATATAAAACGATAGAATATCAGGTAAGGTGGGGCAAGGTCAAAGAAAGAGGTTACAATGGGTGTATGTGCTGCAGTACACAAAACAATAGAAAGATAAGATAAAGCGAAGGAAAGGTCAGAGAAAGAGGTTACAAGGGGTGTATGTGCTGTAGTATACAAAGCGATAGAAAGATCTGATAATAGAAAGGAAAAGTGAAGGAAAGAGACGACAAAGGTGTGTATGTGCAACAGTATATAAAACGATAGAAAAATCAGACAATTTGGAGAAGAGATGTAGGAAAGAGACTACAAAGGTGCGTACGTGTGCGAATGGATGGTTGTAGAACACCGTGTGTACGGAAGGCACTCAGGAAGACACATAACAACAGTATACTGATAGACACACAACTAGTGCAATGGTGCATCGTGGTCAATAATAGATTATCATTCAAGCCGTTAGTGTCATCAGAATAAAGCCACTGATCTGTCACAGGAACAAAACACTGACACTCACAAGTTGTTCCGAATGGTTGGTACATAATTGTACGTCAAGAGATGATATGAGCTCACTCACGTGCAAACGACCGCAAACAACTAATACAATTTTTTTCTTTTCAAATCGAGCAACAGACTAAACAACTGAACAATGGTCAAAAGTCTTCTTCAAACCCAAGTAAATCTTTTCTGAGTACGTCACCTCACGGTAGGTTGCGTTACTGAAGGTAGTCATATGTATGGTGTATACAATAAAAAACATAGATACGTGTAAGTATAAATAATGCAGTACAACGTACTTACCTGATGGGAATACCATATCGCACTAACGCAATCGCGTGTCCCATCTCATGCACAAAGATTGACCCGACCATTCCTATGGCAAAGGGCCAACCAAACACAAACGAATAGGCCAGCGATGACAGCATCATGGTTATAACAGGCGCTGCTTTAAATATTTTCAGAGCCACCACACCCTGTGATGAGAATACAATTGGAATGCGTGAGGAATTCAATAGATGAAAGCAGAACCAACATAAGCATACCTTGTGCAGAGAGTACAATTGGAATGCGTGAGGAAAAAAAATAGAAAAAATTATAAAATAAGGTAGATGAGGAATGCGGTCTTAGTAAGTAGTGCGACCGGCTACGAAAGCCACAACAGCCCCAAAGTGATCACACATGCTACGTTTAAGATTGTCAGAGGCACCACATCCTGGACGTAGAGTGCGTGGGGTGTTCGTGATGCTTACAAGGGAGTATACATCGACCATGTAGGAGTTTGCGGGGCATTTTGCAGTCGTATGGGACTGACAGGTGTTGTGTAGTGATGTGGAGAGGGCAACGATTCGCCTAAAAAGAAGGCAAATGTCTCAAGCAATGGCAACGTCACAACGATCACAGGTGCAGGTAAGAGGATCTCTAGTTTATATACTCTGCGCAAAGAGTACGTGTGGAAGGCGTGAGGAGTTCAAGAAAATATACAATTGTCAAATGATACGAAGTGGGCGGTTAAGCATTATAATAGGCATATGGAGAATGTGAGGGTTTACAAAGGCCAGCGACTGAGAATTGTGTGGTATTTGAAAGACATGTGATGGAGTATGCAAGGTATGTGAAGAAGCAGACAAGCTATGCAGAGGAGTAGACGAGGTATGTGAAGGAGTATACAAGGTTTGTGAAGCGTATGCAACGTATACGAAGAAGACATTTACGAACGTGTAGACCAGAGCCAACAATATAAAATCTATCACGAATATCGACTCATAGCATCGTCAAATTCAGCATACACTGTCCGCATCCGCGGAGTATGTGTGGCACGCGTGAGACATATACAAATTATTCCAAAGCTATACCTATCTCATTGATGGAACTACAAATAGCATCAGCTCGCAAGCTTAGTTTACATTGTCCTTTGACCGCGAGTACACACCAACGATAAGGATCGTAAACATTCCGTTCATTCTCCTGCACTCCGGGGCAATGCGGCGAGATTGAGAGTTTAGTACGTCCAAGCACACCCACACAATTTCTATGAAACAAATCCGCCACTCCCCTGTCACCTGGAACGTACAGATGGGTGTGCAGGTTTACGTACAGGCGAGATCACATATACAACTTTAAATGAGTACTCGTGTTTATGCGGGGAGTGTTCATACCTTTTTCATCACTAAGAAGCCGCCCAGCGCTCCCTTCACGGCATAATTATAGTATCTCTGCATACGCTCGTTGGGATGCATGCCGGGAGGATAGTCTTTGCTACTGTTCCTTCTACCCACTTAGAATTATAGTGGTCGTTTAATATTTGAACGGTGTGTGAATGTGCAGCTTTTCACCAGTATTTTCTATCCATATTCATACACTACTGCAAGTCGATGTGCACGCACAATGTGATTCTTTGCGGGCGTCAACTTAGAGGTAGTATTCAACGTGTACATATAGTTCTGTAAAAAAATACTGATTAGCACCTGAAGATGTCTCTTCACATCATTACCATTGCATGAACGGGAAGAAGCTCCGGAGTGCAACAAAAGACAAGTCTATATATATATACCTACATGTTTATGTGTTTGTGTGAACAGGTACAGATGGATGCTACCCACTAAACGTAGATATATACACAGCAACCACCGCGCTTCTATAGTCCCCCTTGATACTCTTCCAAAAAATTTCTAGTTGTCAACTTGTGAAAAACATTACCAGCCGCCCATTGGGCCTTGACTCACCTTCATCGCCATTTGCAACAGTGGAGACGGAGACTTTCAAGTGGTTCGACTAGAATGGTCAGGTTAAATTGGGAGCGGCAAAATAGTATAGAGGCGGTGAGTCACACCCAATATAATAGAAAGAAAGTATGCGCTCGTGTGTTGGATCAGTGCTGCACCCGAGTTAATTAGGCAAGCGCTGGTCACGATAGAATAATTCGATGCAGATCAGATATAAGCGAATAAATTAATAAATACACCCATGTTGCCCTCGAGATTGTAGTGAACCATAAAAGGACGGCGAAACCTTGCTAACGGTATGTCAGACCTACACTCATGACTATCAATTCTGATCGACCCGAAGCCCCAACTTGGAAAACGTCGAAAAAACATACGTCCGAGTAATGCCATATAGAGTAGAAATTCAATATATATATATAT